TGGACGGCAGAGACCACTACAGAGGCGTTCATAAACCCCGGCCCTAGCCAAATTCTGTAAAAGATCATTTTTAATCAAATTCTCGATTTTTTGCTTAGAAAACAAGCTTTGACGTGACTCGCAGCATGGTTTTCTACCTGGACGATCATGCGAAACGTCTCACTTAATTTATCTTTCCCTCTTTACTTCCCTTCCTAATGCGCAGCAATCAATTGTTGCGATCTACGTTGACCTTACCAAAGCCTTCGACAAGGTACCGCACAAACGTCTTCTGGTGAAACTGGAAGCCGTCGGCATCCGCCTGCCTCTCCTCGACTTCATTGGTTCCTACTTGCCTAACCACAGCCAGAAGATCTTAGTAGGCAACATTTACTTGATGGCTCAGCTGATCACGAGTGGCGTTTTTCAAGGCGCGGTCTTGGGTCCTCTACTCTTCATTCTATACATTAATGAAATTTCGACAGTCCTGAAAATTCACACACTCTCCTTTACGCAAACCAGCTAAAGTTCATATTGTGGGACACTGCATATGTGCGTTGATAAAATAAACGCATACCTACTTACACTCTCACGTTGGAGTGCTACCTGGCAGTATTTTCATGTGTTTTAGCCCCGCCGAGCTTCCTAGTCACCGAGTCTTTCAAAACACTCTACTTTTACGACGATCCACCAGAAAGGACTTATGTCTATGTTACACAAATGGACTAGCATTATCGCCTCATGCGGATCGAATATCTGCGAAGGCTGCACAGGTATTTGGTTTCATATCACATAATTTCTCCCTTCTGCAAATAAAGTTAAAACTGTACCGCGTGTTTGTTCTACCCATCCTATAACACTGCTGCCCCTCGTTGGTCTACTGAATGCCTCTGACCGCGGTAAGGTTCAAAATGTTCAGAGGGTTTTTACGCGAAAAATATTTGTTCTTCCTCGATCCATTATTTCTTATGCGGAGAGATTCCAGTTGGCGAACATGACATTCCTTTGGGTTAAAAGACTCAAAGCGGGCTTCTGTTTCCTATTTCGCGATAACTCTAGCCCCAACCTACTACGGATCAATGTTCATACTCCGGCAGATAGACCTTATGCAACTCGTAATTCCTCCATGACAATTTCACCACCCTTTAGCTTCACATCTAACCATGCTCGTTTGTTGTCTCCAAATATGTCTTCCTTTGGAATAATATTCCCCTCGAAATTAGAGTGCCGTCTAACGTAGCCGTTTTTAAAGCCAAATTACGTTAAAATTTAACTTCGGAAGCTATAAAGTCCTTGCTATCCGTCTCCTTCCCAAACACACAATTTTTGGACGCTGAAAAGGGTCCTCCTGGTATTTGAGGCGGTTCCATTTGTATTAAGCTGTTTTCCATATATGTGTATGTTATCCTTTACAGAGTGATGTTTTCAGTGGTGTTTCGTCCCCTACTTATCTTTCAAAGCTAAGTGAAATAGATATTTTTAACAGATTTCATCGTTCCTTGCTGAATTTATTAGCTTAATTGCTGTTATTTATGTGTATCTCTAACCCTTTATAGCAACTGCACATACCGGTAGTTGTCTTTTTTACCGATAGGTGAGAATATACAGTTTTTAGTACTGTTTCACCCGACAATAGCCTCATCCTAGTTCCGGTAGATTCACGTAAAAAGCAAGTAATCTATTGCGTGAATACTAAATAAGATCTGAAAATTTGGTAATATATCAATTTCCAGCAAGAAATAGTTTGTATTACTCGATATACTATTTGACATAATTTTCATCCTGCGTAGCCTCTTCCGTAATTCAAATTTTCTGTCAAAATTGTGTGAATAACTTTGCTTAGAACATATCCTATCACTCACCTCCAATTCAATATGATAC